AGAGGGACCGGCACTGCCCCGGCCCCGCCCCGGGGCTGGGCTCGGCTCCGGCCGGACCCCAGGCACCCCCGCCCGGGGGCGCCGGACGTCCTGCGGCTGCAGCTCCGGCTCTCCCCGCCGGGGCGGCCCCGGGGCCGGGGTGGCTGCTCAGCCGCCCCTCTTTCGGGCTCTGTCGGGGCCGGGGGCGAGCCCGGCCTCAGGGGCCGCACGGCAGAGCAGCGGTCGGGTCCCCGCGGATGGGCCCCGTCCTCCCGGAGGATACGGCTGTGTCTGCCCAAAGGCAGCGGCGGCCTGAGCTCGAGGGTAAGCGGGGCTCCACATCGCACCGCAGGCTGTGACACTGGTCACTCACGACACTCCCCTCTGGCTGCGCACAGCGAGGCTCAGCACCTTGGTTAGCCCAAACCTTCCAAATGCTGTGACCCCTTCTGCCCCTTGAAAGGAACAGGCAGATGGATTATGCTGTAGACTCTTGTGCTCTGAATAATACATAATAAAGAAATAATCATTTCTTCTCTAAGTGAAAATCAGATGCCACTTTACTGTAGTGAAATTTAGTAATGCCTCCCAAACTTACTCTTTCACAGAAAAAAGATATAAGAGCCTGAAACTTCAGAAAGCTTTCTGCAATAAAATTATGAACACATGGCCAGCAGCCCAAAGGTTTGTCATCAAATTAGGGAGATCAAAATTAAGACATCATTAGAAAGCAGGTCTTAGTCAGGACCCAAGGAAAGGATCCAAGCAAAGCACTTACAGATCATCTAACAACTGCAGGATGTAAAAAAAAAAAAAAAAAAGAAAAAAAGATAGAGGAATAAATTACAAGCGTCTTCTATTTCAATCTAAATAAGCCAGTCTGTCATGGGTGTCCATGAGAACGGGCACATCCTCAAGGACAGACATGCCTTTATCTGTTCTAGCATCCCAGTGTATCTGCATTCCAATCTGGATCAGAACCAATGGTGCTGTTTCCATGCAAATGCCCATGGATGTTCTCCATCTGATTCATTGAGAAAGATATCAGTGTATAAGAATTGGCATTTTATCATTAGCAACGGTTGATATCAACTATACCGAAACACACAAGACCTTTGCAATGGGCATATATGGGAAAACCTGACTCATGGATGTCACATTCCTACCTGACATGGGTTTAGTCCATAAGCCATTACATGTCTTTTTTTTCCAAATGAACTTGCAGTAGATGCCTTTAACTAGAAGATGCAGATTTGAGAACAGAATTACTAAACTGTTCTCTCAGTGAATAATAAAATTAATATCCTTTAGTAAAAGGTACACAGTTGAAAATTTTCACTTATCAGGCAAGCAAATTAAAAACTGTTTCTCTCTCATTTCATTTACTGGCTCTTCCCTGGCAGGAACTTCCTTTCATCATTTGTTATCATGTTTCCTCTTATTCGTCCCTCCTCTGGGAAACAAAGGTAGTACACACATCTAAGAAACACCATGCAGATGGTAACTCTTGCTTTGGCAGCCCCCTCCCAGAGCAGGATGCTGCGAGTCTGCACAGCCCAGCATTTACTGTAGAGCTTTACCTGAAGCCCAGAGCACCTCAAGCTTCCTCGGTAGTTTTAAATCCCAACTGAATAGTCTAAGTGTCCTCAGAAGTCTGTGGGCAGCATTGTATCAGGCATGTGTCAGGCATGTGGCAGAAGCTCAGCAAACCTAGTATTCCTTTCTCATCTATGAGGACTAAGCATTATTTCCATGCCTAACCTAGAAACTGGAAGAGAAGAAACAAAGAATGTAGGTGAGGATGAAGCTAGCCTAAAAATGGTTAGTAACTCAGTTCAGGAGTTTTTCTGGTATTTTCCTTGAGTCAGACAGCTGGATGGACCAGAACGTGACTATTTGTGCAGAGTATCACGCATGCACAGCAGTCACTTCAGTCTTACAAAGTTAATTTTATTTGGAAATTGCATCTTCAACAGTTATTCCATTACTAAATTTTTATAAAAAATAAATCTGCTTTCCGTACAAAAAGCTGGCATTAGCAAAAGACACTTTTCTTTCTTTTTCATCTCATTTTCTGAAACGATGTAGAAGGAGCAGTTCGCTTAGAAGGGCCAGATTCTTCCTCATTTTCATGGTGACGCTTTCTCGTTGTGGTTGGCTAAAAGACAGATACAGCAGGATGGCTACAGAAACCAGGCAAGACAGAGCCTGACTGTTCTGCTTGCTCCAGAATTACAAGTGTTGGCCAGTGTCTCCTTTCTCTGACCCAAAAAGCAGCATGACTAACCCATTTCTCTACCAAAATACATCTAATTATATTTGAGCCTTCTCATATAAGACATTGCTCCCAGCTTGAAACAGCTACTGTTTACAATTCACCTAATTAGCATATGGTAATGAATGGCACAATGCCATCGTAAATTTGCACTAACATGAGAATTTTTCCTTGAACACTATACATTAGTGACTTGAATCCATTAAAAAAATATATATATGTTCAACAACTTTATTCTAAATATATGGATCATTCTTTGAAGCCCAGGAGGCTGTTTCCATACATTTAAACAAGTGTGGACAAAGCATGAAAGTCCATTGCTGCTCCTCAGGAAGCAGAGATAACCAGCAGGCTGCCACGTACAGCCCAAGGGCACATTTCTTTAAAGTCTCAAAATTAGCTGATTTTCTTATTACAGGCTACTTCAAAATCTAATTTCTCTGTGCCTCAAATATTAATCTTCAAGTATCTATTACACATACCATTTTTGATGTTTGTGGTGGATTCATACTGGCATGTGTCTGAGCAAGTAGCTGTTGAAATGTACTCTTCATATCCTCATCCTGAGAGAAAAAAAAAACCAGTAGCCAAGTAGTAGACAGAATATTTAAGAAAAAAACAAAGATTGGGAAACTCCAAGAGAAGTGAATGGGACATTCACCGCTAGAGACAATTAGAAATAACAATCACTGTTCTCCTAAGGATTTCAGCTGTTGTTACTAAGTTTCTTGGGGGAAGGCAGGGGAGGGGTTCCTTTTTCTAAGCAATGGAGTGTTGCAGTATATCCTTTTTTGTTTAACTACATTCTTAAGTCCTAACACAAAGGCTGTGATGTGAACATCCATTTTATTTGATATAGAATTTTGACTTGTTTTTCTTTTCCAGCATCACCTGATTTAACTGTGGCTACCTTTGAGTTAATGGGTAAGATAAATATTTTTCCATTTATTTAACAAACACCTGAGTGTTTTCTTCAGCATGCAACCAAACTAAGTCCCATTCATAAGACCTCAGTGAAGTTTTAAGAGGCAGAAAGAGCAATTATTTATATGCTTTTGAGAAATGTTTTATTAAGCACCTGTTTTATTAAATGCAGGTAGGACATTTCCACTGAGTAGTACTTAGGTTTAAGCAGCTAACCAAGTTTTAAAGCTGTAGATTTTAGCAAAGAATGGAGTAAACAGCACATGTATTGAAAATACTAATTCGAAAGCACTACTGGTTTAAATAAATCTGTAGAAATTAAATACTGTTTGGAGAAGATGCTTACTTTTAATATCTGAAAAATTCCCTAGCGTACCCAAAATCATCAGAGGGCTAACAGGCCTGGTCACACAGGGTTTTTCCGTGCTGACTTGAAAAGTCAATACACATTCACCAGAGGTGTAATGTGTTCCTGACACTGCTCTGGGGAGAATGCCACAGGAGGGATACAGTGATGGGCAAGGAGAGCTTCAGTTCTTTGGCTTCATGGCAATAACAACTGCGATCTTAAGTCAGAGCTTAAGCCTGCCTGTCCATATTTTCCTGCTTCCTTGCAGAAGCAAATTATACTGCATTAACAAAACTTCACAACGTTCAGGCTACTGAACCGCCTTTGAGTTCACAGCAACAAATTATCCCCCTAACAACTCAGCTTTGCTGTATTTCAGTTAAAACTCAATTCCTACCTGAAGCCAAGGATGCTTTAAGGCTTCCTCTGTGGTAAGACGTTTGCGTGGGTCCACAACCAACAGCTTCTTCACAAGATCCAGAGCTAAAATAATAAAGAGAGCTGGTTGACATATGATCAATACATTCATTACCTGAAATAGGCATACACCAAAGCTACGTGCAACAATGTGTCTGATACCCCTTCAGAACAATGCCCAAAAAATACAGGCTGGGCAGATCACTTGTCTTTTTTCTATGCTTAGGGAGGGCTGCAGACTGCAACCATCTTTCCTTCACATGCACACGATACAACACTTCTCAGTACCCCAAAATTACCAGTAGATATACTGATCACGTCCACAGTTTATGTTCTGAGCATGCATAGGAGACTGAGCACTTTCTGTATCGGGGAACATTGATATTTTTTGGCCTGTGTTTGGGCCAGCCACCTGTGAAAGTTTTGTTCTTTGCCTGCCAAGTTCACTGATAAACGGGAACCTTGTCCTTGCAGAGAGAGTTTCTTGTATAAACTGTTTTAACTGGTGTTCTGTTCAGGACATTTGAAGGAGAAACTGAAGAGAAGATGAAGTAAAGCCCCCAGACCCAAAGAGATAAGACCCTTTGAGCTAAACAGCATATGTGAGAGGGGAATCCCAAAGTATTCAGGCATGCGCTGAAGGGGTACACTTACAGAACCGAGGGGGCAGACTGAGAACCTCTGTCTGGGCAGTACTGGCCACGCCTGCCTGGACAGACGCAATCAGTTAATGGTATAAGAGCAGTCAGCTGGGTTTTTGGGGGTGATTTTTGCTTCACATGAAGGACCACTTGTCTGTAGCAGGTACGCCTGCACATGTGAGCCATCACCCCTCCGAAAAACACAGCTGCTGTAGAGGATTCTCTGATATTGGGAGTGGGTAAGATAACTTCCTTTCTGACACCTGCGTGAGTAGGGTGTCGTGTTCTCTTATTGTTCTCTTTCTCTCGGGTTCCCGTTTACTTGGTCATTTTTGTAATAAATTATTCTTGAGTTTTTCAACAGTGTCTTGGTTTTCTATCTCAGCATCCTTTCGAACTCACCCTGATACACTTTCCTAAAAGCTTCAGTATTACTGTGGAAAAGCAAAGACAGCTTAATTTAATATCCTGGTTTACTGTGTCTTGGAAAGCAGATTGTCCATCTAGGAAGGTGGGAAAGAAGAGACAGACACATGTATGCTCAACATAAACTTCATTTTCTTAGGAACCTGCTTATTAGGCACACTGAAAATGCGGCATTTATGTCATATTTTATTATTCCAAATCTCCCATAAGGGAATTTTGGCAAGATTTACTTTTCATTCTGATTATTCTAAATACATACCAGTAGGACTATGTACAACCTTTAAATAATTTCTGTTCTCATACATGTCTGACTTACTATTGAATAAGCTTCAAATTATTCAGGAAGGAGTTATATTTGGTAAGTTTATTAGGCACAGAGTGACAGCATCACTTATTAGAAATTTCTCTGCACATATAAAGGAGTATCCAAGGCAAATACTACAATTACTTTGTGAATATAAAGTGTCCTGAAAAAAATAAAAGCATGAAAACAGTAGCTATCATTGCAGTTTACTATGCAGAAACTCCATTTTGCAGACTACTTAGCTTATAGTGGGCCAAACATAATAGCTGATTCCACAAATGTGATTGACACTTTCAGCTACAAGTCTAGCACCATGAAATGATTCTCTTGGAACATTTGGTTTTTTGGAGTTCTAACTCATATTCCTTAAATTCCTGGCATTTTTGGCTCAACACTTGAAGAATGTTTAGGCAAGGCAAAGTCTGTAGACCAGCTTGATAAAAGTCAGAAGAAAAAGTGGAAAGAGGAAAAATAGACATATGTGCCCACAAACTCTATACTTCTGTGGTTAATTACGCTAAATATTACTAAGAAATCTCTTCAACGAAAAGGTATCTCCTCTTTCTAATGCTTTAACCATGAACTTTAAAAAAAATTAGGATACTACTTTAAAAACTAAACATATTAACCTGCAATGCGCCATATAGCTGGAAAGGAAGATAAGGGAAAGTAAGAACTACAAGAGAAGAGGCTGATATTCTGCTACCCACTGTGCTGGAGTCATACCCGTGTCTGACACGTGCTTCCATTCTCTTGCAATGAACGTGTATTTTCCACGAGTGATTTGTTCTTCCAGAGAGAGTTGAGTATTTTGCTCACTGAATGGTGGATATCCACACAAGCTATGTAAAAGAAAACAATGTTAAATAACACAGATTTTGTCATGGCAAATGAAACACCGAAATCACACATTTTAAAGCACCTGCTATCACGGTGTTTCTACAGGTGTGACATTTTAAATACACTTTCACTTCCTAATATAGATACTGAAGTTGCCATCTCTCAAGCCACATATGTCAAAGACTGCCCAGTGAAGGTACATCTACACAGTATCTTACCATACAAAAAGAATAACTCCTAAACTCCAGCAGTCCACAGCTCGGCTGTATCCAGCAGTCCCAAGTGAATTTAGAACCTCAGGAGCAAGATACATGGGAGTACCACATAATGTTTTCATAAGAGAAGCTTCTCCAAGAATCTTGGATTGTCCAAAATCTGTAATCTTGTATTTAAAAATGGTAATACCACATTACAAATTAGGATGGACTGGGCTAGAAAACATCACATTGTCGACATAGGTCAGGAATTAACATCAAACTTCTTCCTTCCAAGACAGTTCCAGTACATGACTATGAACAAAAGTTACCCAAACTTCTTTGAGTTGTACGTGAGAATGGGAGAGGAGGAAGAGAGAGAAATATGACAGAGGATCCCACTTTACACTAGCAAAAAGTACTCTCAAACTTAGATGTAAATGGGCAACCACAGAATCTCTTAATAGAAGTGATTACTTAACAAATAAGCACTTTACTGTGCAAATCTATTCAATGCTTTCTCTGGGGGGAAAAAAAAAAACACAAAAGAAAAAACAGACCCCACCCCCATAAAAAAACAAAACCACAAAAAAAAGTCTTGTCACATACAGCTTGTGGGAATGCTGCCTATAATCCAAGAATTACACTTTATTGGGAGAAAAAAAAAAAAGGAGCATTGACATTTGAAGTTAGTTATGAAGTGTAGGGGTTGAAATACCCATAAAAGCAAAAATAAAATTATGAAAAGCCTCAATGTTTTAAGTTATTTTATGGTTTGCATGGCTACTTCCATAATATCTTTTTGGATATGTTTAACAAAATATCAAGAAGAATAGGAAGGAAGACTCCCAAATTTCTCCATTAACACAAAATGTAAGTTTTCTTACCTTTATAAGACACGTCTCTTCAGAAGATGAAAGTAGCACATTTTCTGGCTTTAGGTCTCGGTGTATAATTCCATTGTCATGAAGATACTAGACATAGAAAGATAGACAATTAAGGAAAAAAAGAATATTAAGCTGTTTTAAAATGTAAGCTTTCCAATTTTTCCCATGGCAATGGCAGGATAACGGAAACAGCTGTGTAAGAGGCATTTAAAGCTCCCGTGCTTACAACTCTCCCTTTAAAATAAACAAAACAAGAAAAAAAAAAACAAAGAAACAAAAAAAACCTTAGAAATCATTATGCTTCAAATGACAAATCTCACTGCAAGCTCAGTGTGCAGACCTGGCCATGTATTATATACTTCCCATTCTCTGGGGAGTTACACTTCTTCATCTCAGTAAAAGCACAGAACTAAGGAAGACCCAAGTCCTGTGTTGCCTTTGTAGGAATTCTGGTTTTCCATTTCTCTTATTAAATCAAATTGTTAAGAATGCTGTGCTGATTGCTTGGTTTCAGAAATGACAAGTGACAGAAAAATTCATCTTACTGATATTCATATGCATAACCATATTTCTTCTTGATAGAATTCACGATTATGTACCTTTACTGCCAGCAGCATCTGATAAAAATACAACTTGCAGGTAGCTTCTTTCATCTTGACTGGCCTTGACACTCTGTCATACAATTCTCCTCCTTCCATCCTAAAACAAATGCGGGTAAGAAGTCAAGACATGACTTCCAAAAGATTCGTCTCATTAGACAGGACTAAGACTAAAACAATTGTCTACAGAGAAAGAATAAGTTTCTGAAAATGAGTGAGCAACATCCTAAACACAGCACACGCACTGCTGAGTTCGGGTCACTCTCTTAAGTCCTCACTGGGAGTTGTTATATGGTTTTTGATCAGCCACCTCTTACAAGCTCCAAAATCAAAAAAGTAGCAGCTACGCACAGCAAACAATATCTAGGCAGCAAGTGCCTACAAAGTATGACTTTCTCCTGGTTCCTAATCTTACAGAAGTTTCACAGAACACTGAAGGTCAGCAAAAGAAAAACAAATAAAACAAACAAACCCCCCACAGTTCAGAACTACACACATTCTTTGTAGCTATGGTAAACATTTCATTTTTTGCATGTACTTTCAAACAATTTACTTACAGTTCCAAAACAATGTAGTAATCCTCTGCTTCAAAAAAGTTTTTGATCTTGATTAGGCAAGGCTAACAGAAAAGGGAACACAAATAGAGACACACAAAAAAAGTAGAATTATTTGTAAAATTACTCCTAAAGCTCCTACTGCAGTATTTCAACCATGTCACTTAAACCAACACTTAAAACAAGTGGCTAGCGACACCCCAGACTTTGGTAAACACAATCCTTATTTTTCTGGTTGTGAGTTATGATCCCCTCAATATTTTGTCTATTTTACATGCAGAGAAAAGAGGGGATACAAATTGAAGAAACTGCCAGTCAAAACTAATCTTTATATTTGGTTATCTCATGGCATTTATAAAAACTTGCATCAAGGAAAGATTTCTACAACAGTGGTTCAGGTTGAAACTTCTCCTGTTAAGTTTCTTCTCAAATTTACATCTCATTTATACAAACTTTTAAAATCTGAAATCTGCAAAGACACAATATAATTAAAAGAAGACAATTTACAAGAAAAAGCATATGCCTCCTTTAACACATTTCTGAACAGATAAAATTCATCTTCCGTTTCTACACTAAGGTCAGTGAACTACACAAGTACATACAGTAAGAAGCAAAAGGGAATAACAATGTACAGAAACACTCACGTGATCTATTTTCTTCAAAATTTCAATTTCTGTATCGATATTAAAAGCTGGGTTCTGTTAAAATAATCAAGTGCATTGGGTAAGACAGTGCTGTTCTGAAATAGGACACATCGGAAACAAAAGACAACACCAGAAAAGCCATCATGCCCCTTGCTACTCTAAGTGATCATAATATACAAACTTTTTCCATAAACCCATCAGGTGCCTTCAGTGAATTAAATAAACAATCTGCTGTCACCATCAAGAGCAAGATATTGCTCCACAGATGTAATTTCACAGTGGGTTAGAAATCCACAACTAATTTCCAAACTGCAAAACCCAAAAAAATACTGTCACATATACACCTGTACTGCCCTTTAAACCAAACCCCACAAGACTCCACACCACCCTCTGTACACATCCCATTAACAGTCCCAAATTATGAACCCAATGGAATGTGGCCGAAGAATGGAAGTAAGTATTTCCTACAGAATTCTGGAGATGCTACAAGACCAAAAGGCATTTCCATTTTTTGAATTAAGTAAGAAAATCCTCCTTAGTTGAAGACAGCTGGGGAGTCAGAGAAGTTAGCAAATATTCCAGGGCCACTGCAAGAAGGCCAAGACAGACAGACAGACAGACAAACAAAAGCACTCACTGCCTCTCTCAGGCCACTTGCCGCAAACTTCCGTTTATTGATGATCTTCACGGCCACTTTGTTACAAGTGCTCTTCTCAAATGCCAGTTTGACTTCTCCACAGGCGCCACTAACACGAGAGCACAGCTATGTCAATGCTTACAAATACTGCTCAAAAATCTGTGTAACAAGCACAGACAAATAAAAGCATTGTATTACACGCAATTTGGAGCTGCTGCTTTCTAAAATATGCCCCTTTCAGGAAGCATTCAGCAGTTATAGGAAGCCTGTTTAAATAGCAAGTGTTGTCAAGGGCCGCTCATTCAGAACTGCAGGAGTAAATATGCAAAGCAACAGGTCTGTTGGCACCAAGGGTAGGGGCAAATATGACAGACAAGCTGTCAGCATTTCCTTCACCCAAAGGCATTTAGGGGAAGAGAACCTAGGAAGGGTTCTCGCGACACCAGACTGCACAAATCTGAAGAACAGATATGACAATACTTGTGTTTTTACTAAACTGCAATTACATTGCAGAAAGAAATTCTTGCATTTCCTGCTCAGATTTGTTTCTACTCAACCATTCACCCCCAAATTCTTCACTGACCAACTGTTTCCAAAAGAGAAAAAAAATAGCCTCCTCTTAAAATAGCCTCTCTCTCCTTTTTCCTGGACAGTTCTTTCCCCTTCTGTCTGAAGGTCTTAACAGTGATGTTGTAGAAATCTGTATTCCAAGATAAAGCTCCTTCTACTTCCAGTAACCGGGCAAATTAATATACAAACTTTAAAAACTTGCTAAGTATTTACAAACTTTATTATCTTCTACAAAACAAAACAAAAACCAGTTTTCACCACTGATGGCAGGTTGCAAAACCCAAGCCAATTACTGGGATAAAGCCAAAATCTCTGTTTTCATTTCTCTTCTACTGAGGAAAGAAGGATGCTTACCTTCCCAAAGTCTTTGACATGATATATTTCTCTCTCAATTCTCTAGGAAACGTCATCTGATCATCCACCGTAAGATCAGAAAACACAAACACTGGGAAGACAAGCGGAGATCATTTTTCTGTTATTAACTTTAAAATTTTGTTGTAAGAAACAAAGCTGTTTTCCTGAGCTTTTATAGTCAACAACATGACTGAAAAAATCCCTGCTAGAGGAAAAACTAAATGCACCCAGCTCTGCTAATTTTTAAGAGGATTTTCTATTTATTATGCAGCATCCTGTTAGGTATCTGGGGGGATTTTCAACTTTTCTTCAGTAGTCTGCCTCCCCGTTTCTACCACCACATGCACAGCTACTGAAGCCCAAAAGCATTTTAAAAATAGGAAAGCAACAACAGAAGTTTATACTCTAGTAAGGTGCTATCTGATGCAGATTCCTCTCAGCTTTCTTTTTTAGTTTTTTTCCTAGGTTTGATATGGATAATTTTTATGCAAGTACTAAAACATCTATCCATAGCTGTGTTTTAACAGCCCTCATGAAGCAGCTCCCAAGAAACACACTCAAATCAGTGCAGAAACAACCTCCTGGTCAACATGCGAAGAACCTACTTAGGTAAAAGTATATTTTACCCTTATTGGTCTGTAGAGACAGTGCAATTTCGGAGTTGTGAATCAGTGGAAGCCTCTTCCCTTTTCCAACAAGCTCTTTATTCACAAATGTTCCATTTGCACTATGGTCTTCAATATAGGCAACATAGGAATTTTTGGGACCCATTTCCTCAAAGAGAAAAAAAAAACAGCAAAGATGAAAGTAAAGAAGTAATGACTTTACAGTAAAGACATGACAGACTAGAAATTTACTATTGTTGGCTCAAGAAATGAGACTACTTAGGTTATTTCATAAACCAGGTGAGTGGGGCGTTGCCAAGAGTTGTGTTAAAGGAGTCAACACTGAAGATACTTTAATAACTTTAGGATTTCTGCCCCAAAGACACTTTTTGAATTATGCCAAGGCAGAGACAGCGAACCTGTCCAGCACTTACCCTGAAAATTCGGAAATGCTTCTTGCTATAGTTTTCATAGAAGCCAGTCTCATACAATCCTAGCTTAGAAAAACTGTAATCACAGCTTTTGTCTCTCCCAAACCAGTATTCCTCATTCACACAGTCTGCAGAGGAGGGGAAGGTACAGCAGAGAGAGAACACAACATTGCAGGAAGTTATTAACTATGGCACTACAGAATGATGCCAAATGGTAGAGTAGGATACCAGAGACAAGATTCTTCCCCTACCATCAAATTTATTTGTCTTAATTCAGACAAAGCACCATGTAATACTGACACCTTGTAAAATTCCTTAATAATTTTATCCTCTTTATGCTCTTAATAATTTTGCCCTCCTTAGTAGTAATAGCTTTCAGTTCACTCTCAGCAATATAGACATATATGATAACAAAATAAGTTATAAAATGGAAAAATGAAGCATGCAACAAAGAACATGAACATCCCATAATTTCTCTAAGTCTATGGAATCTGTGTATCCAAATACCCAATATAAATACTGGGATGTATAGAATAAAACGTTATTGCAAAAGTTGCATACCTAAATTTGCTTGTACTTAATTTAAAAATTAGAAGACATTGCTGTCTATTAAGCGGCTCAGAACTTCCCTGGGGTCCTACAAACAAACCAAGAGGTTTTTTACAGTATGCACATACCACAATTGCTGAAACCTGCTGCAAGTGCAAAGAGTCGACCCCACGGCTGAGGAACCAGCTCTTCCGGTTCCTGGTCCTCAGGGATCGATGGAAGCTCCTGAGTGGGAACAGTGTCCAAAGAACTGAGGGTCCCAGAACTTGAGGAAGACTGACTAGTACTCTGTGACCCACTGGAAGAAGAACTCTGTGACGACTGGGTAACTTGAGTCTGCTGTACTTCACTTTCAGTCTCTCGGGACATATTGGCTTCAAAGAGGATGTTAAAAAAAACACAGTTACTACAGTAAAGTAAAACTAGTAAGCACTCACACACTGTACTATTAATGTTCAAGTCCATTCTCAGACTTCAAAGTAAAACTTCCAACCCAAGAGTGCATGTGCGGGTTAAATCCCCAGGAATTTTGCGAACCAGGATGGCTTTCTTTTTAGAAGGGAATGTGGGGCGGCCTCTGCTGGTTCTAGAACAGAATTAACTCTTATTCCCAGATTGCTCCCGAGGACTTCAGGCCTCGCACTGGGTCACACAGGCACGGGCACTGTTTGCCATACCGTTCGATGTATAATGCAGACTAATTTAAACCTCTTCAGCGGTTTGCTACCTTTCATTAGGAGCCAAAAAACCCACAACAACTCCCAAGTTACTTCCTACGTCCCATTTTCTACAGGCGAGGGCCAGGGGCTCCGACCGCAGCCCTTTGCAGCGGTGCTGGCACAGCCGCCCGCGGAGGGAGCGGAACCATAGAATCGTTTGGATTGGAAAAGAGAGAGGCCATCGAGTCCAGCCGCTCGCCCAGCGCTGCCAAGGCCACCACTGACCCCGTCCCCAGGTGCCACATCCCCGCGGCTGTTAAAGCCCCTCTAGGGATGGTGACTTCACCCCTGCCCTCGGCAGCCTGTGCCAAGGCTGGGCAGCCCTCCCCAATAAAGGAATTTTCCCTCATATCCAACCTACACCTCCTTCTGAACAGCTCCCGGACGCTCAGACGGCGGAGCCGGGCCGCCGCGGACGGGACCCCGGGGCGGCACTGACGGGCTCCCGTTCACTCAGCACCTGTCCTGTCCCAGCCCGTCCTGCCCTGCCCTGCCCTGCCCGCCCGAGCACCCCGGCCCCGGGACCCAGCGGCGCCGCGCGGCCTTCCCGGGAGAAGCGGCGAGGAGCGGCCCCGCGGCGGGAGAGGAGAGGAGGGCCGGGCGAAGGAGGGAGCGGAGCGCGGGGCCGGAGCGGGACCCGAACTCACGACTCACGGAACTCACGAGGCTCACGCCGCGCGCGCCTCGGGCCGAGCCAATAAGGGGCCGGGCGCGCGGGGGCCGCCGGGAGCGGGGCGCGATGCGGGCGGTGCTGCGGGCCCGGCTCGGGTGGGCGCGGCGGGCGCTGCCCGGGGCCGGGCTGGGCCGCGCCCCGGGGCCGCTATGCTGGAGCTGCGGCACCGCGCTCCCCGCCACCGACGGGCCGCCCCGCTTCTGCCCCGCCTGCCGGGCCCTGCAGCCGCCGGCGCCGCGGCCCGATCTCTTCCGCCTGATGGACTGGTGAGTGCGGGCGGGGCGGCCGCGGGTCCGGCCGGCCGCGGGGCTCACCCGCCTTGTGTCCCGCAGTGACCGCTCCTTCCGCATCGACGCGCGGCAGCTGCAGCGGCGATTCCGGAGCCTGCAGCGCGCCGTACACCCCGACCGCTTCGGCCAGAGGCCGCCGGTGAGCGCCGGGCCGGGCGGGGGGGCCGGGCCGGGCGGGGCCCGCGGGGCTCGGGGACGGCCGAGGGAACCCGCCCTTCGCCTGCGGTCCCATCGCCGAGCCCCCGTCTCTCTCCTGCTCGGGGAGTGCGGGGACTCGCCTGTGTTTGTCTCCCGGTGCTTAGAAGAGACTGTCATGGATTTGCAGCGGAGGACGATGAGGGGCCGCTGCGGCTCGTCAGGTCTTAGCTGAGTGCAGTGACGCTGCTCCCATGTCCACGGAGCCCCCAAAGTTTCACACACGGACTGGTGTAGGGACGCTGGTTTTCTGTATGCAGCGAAGTGTGTTGTGCCACTTGTTATTAACTTAAGTTTGTCGTCCACTTGCAGAAAGAGCAGTACTACTCTGAGCAACACTCTTCCCTGATCAACAAGGCCTACCAGACCCTGCTGAACCCTCTGAGCCGGGGCCTCTATCTAGTAAGGTCTCCGTTAGGAGTTATCAGTGTCCCTCTAACTAACCATAGGGGCTGGGGGTGCTGTGAGGGACCAGACCTTCCACTTCATCCTTAACGTGCTAATTCACATTCCTCTGAAGAAGAGGATGACCGGGGACTGAAGGGAGATCAAAACCAAGTTTGTCTAAACATAATCAGCTTATCATAACATTTACTGCTCATGTTACACTGATTTGTTTCCCACATCACATGTTGTGTTTCGCCACGGCTGCTCATACGGAATTTCAGTCTGGCCCTTGGCAGCCTTCGTTACATTTTTTGACTTAGGGTAACTGCTGATTTTTACGGTCAGCCCGTGTATGAAGTTAATTTGCAGATCGAGACTGTTTATGCACCTTTCATGGAATACACTGTAGGTTTATCGGATATGAATATAAGTGCGCCCCTCTAAAAAACTTAATAATTCCCATTTAATTAGATGTAATAGTGTTTACTTTCAAATTCCCATTTCCTCTGCCAGCTGGAGCTGAGTGGAGTGGAGCCAGCACAAGAGACAGACTGTGATGCAGACTCAGCGTTCCTCATGGAAATCATGGAAATTAATGAGAAATTAGCAGAATCAAAAAATGAGAATATCATTGAAGAAATCGAAACTTTAATTAAAGGTAGGTTATTATTTGAGGGATTTGTACTGAACTAATTTATATCTTCAGTAATACAAGATTCTTTTTGAAAGCTTTTATCTGTTCTGGTGTGTTTCTTGTAATGTCTCTAACTTGTGTTAGTCTGGAATTGATTCAGTGCAAGAGCTTCTGCCCTGGTCCCCTTCCCCAATATTGTCTTTACCTATTTATGCATCTAATCATCACATCTGGCTTGAGAACATCTGTATAACAGAACCCATTTTGATGGCAAAATAAGTATATATAGACTAGAAAAAGGAATTTACTCAATCTTTAGCAGATATGGGCAAGTCAACTGTTCCAAAGAAAAAAAGAACCTCTTAAAATGAAGTTGAATAAAATGCTTGTCTGATGATATTAAATAATGTCATTTACCCAGACATTGTATGTCTTTCACCTTCTTCAACTTACCCACCGTTATATTAAGTGGTTATTGTCCTTACACAAGCATCTTTCTTTTTATATTATTTGCAACATCAAAATATTTGGTTTACTGATATATTCAATTCTTTACAATAACAAAGCGTAGTATGCCAAAAGCAATTAGAATAGTTAGAATAAAAACTGAGTAGAGCAGGAGAAAATTCACCTTAGCAGGGTAAACTGATAGACCAAAAATAAGCTAGATTGCTGGGAAATTAGTGACCATTGATGTGCATTGGAATTGCTGCCTGTAAACCTATTTAATTTGAAATTAGAATTAAAAGTGACAGCAGTATTATGAAAAACTCTCTTAGCTCCCAAAGACTGAGACTAGTAATGAAGTTTCCCACTGCAGGCAGTTGGAATGCAGTGGTATAAAATACACTGAGTATGTAACAAAAAGTGAATTAAATAATTTGTCTTGCAGTTAAACAAGAAGAACTGACCAGAGAGCTGACTGCAGCTTTCGAAAAAGGTACTTGTTTTTATGAAGTATTTAGCTGCCATAAAATGCTGAAAAACCCCACATTCTCTCACTGGCAAATATTTCCTGAACTATAGAACAGAAATACTACATCAACAAGGGTTCTTTGTGTGGTATTTAGCATAAGAGCTTCTAAACTGATCTTTCTGCTGATGCAGGAATTTAGCATTAAAAGCAAAATCCAGTACAAAAGTTCCATTTAATTAATTTTGCATCAAAATAATCACTTTGAGTGGGAATGCAAATGGTAAGAAGCTGTGAGTTTCCCAGAATACTGTGAAGAACACGCTAAATCAAATCAAACTTAGGCCTATTGTGAGGTTTTACACTGGAATCTGGGAGATGTTCTGCAGCCTTGGAGCTGCAGCAGAGTAGTGGGTGCTGTTCTGTGCAGTGACAGGAACGATTCCATTGTCACGGAAGCTGTGCAGCAAGGAAAGTTCTGATGCCTGTTTTGGGGGTTTCCTGTGCAAGAAACAACATAACTTTATTCCACAACCAATGAACTGTTCTGAATCTGGGAAGAAACCTTTGTATTTCCGTGCCGGATCTCAGAATGCTGCAGCTGTGAGGGGTGGGGTGTTGTAACTGTAAACATCGAAGTGGTGCTGGCTGGGCCTGCCTGTGAGGAGTTACAGTCTGTTATAATCTGTTACTCTGTGCCACAAGAAGGACTGTGTTGCATCTGTCCTTGTCAGTAATAAACCATATTTCCCCTCCAATTGTTTCATTGAAGAGAAATTGTTTCAGTATCATGTTTGGAATTGGCACTCTCCAGACTGGACTGCAGCTCTTTTGCATTTTTCAGTTATGTCAGTTGGTCTAAATTGCACACATTTAAAACAAAAACGTTTGTCTTGCCCAGTGGCTGTGTCAGTATTGCAGCCACTTTACAGAAGTCATTTCTTTTCCAAAAATTACATTGTTACATGTTTTTTGGAACATCTCAGTTGTGCTCCCAAACCATCCCAGATTAAAATAAGAGGCAACATGGTTTTAATAGTCTGAGTCCTTGCAGCTCACAGCTCTTAGTACTGAAACAAGTTCTGTCATTGAAATCTTGAGAGTCATTTTGAAAATGCAAATTCAGCTCTCCCTCTGTAAAATGTTTATTTCATTTCAGATGATCTTCAAGAAGCTAAGAAGCTTCTAGGAAAAATGAAGTATTTTGCAAACTTAGAGGATAAATTAAAGACCAAGAAGATCCCTTCCTGATGCTGCTTCCTTTGGGATTAATAATTAATGTTATTTTCAATTAAACAGATAGTTATCAAAATCAGATAAATGGTGTTCTTTTCCTGTGTTTCCATTTAAAGCTTTAATTCTGAGGAAAATAAATGTAAAATCCAGTGCTTGCTGCAGCACTTCAGTAGCAGATGGAATTTGAAAATGCTTATTACAACCAGGAAAAGTTGTACTGGGTAAGGTGGGCCACTGTCCTGGCAGCTACAGGTATGGAAACAAAGGCCGGAAAGGCACACAAATGTCAGATATAAGTGAGATTTCTTACTTAATGAAATATGAAGAACGTGTTGTAAGTTGAGAAAGAGTCCTGGACAAAATGCTGGAAATAAGCAGAAAGGTCATTTAGTATGTCCTGCAGGAGCTCTATAGTCTCCTTGTGTGTATTCTCTCACACCATCTTGAAAATTCTTTTAAGGTTAAAAGTATTTCATTCCTGTCATCTGTGCTCTCCACTACTGCATGCTTTTGGTATGTTGACCTCAGTCTGACAAGAACTGACCTTCAAAACTAGAAGAGGTTTTACCCTGTTGCATAGTTTAAAATGTTAAGATGCTGGGTTAGGGGAAAAA